CGGTGCGCGGCGGCTGCTCAAGCCGTCTTTGGCGTCGCCGCCGCGTCTCCCTCCCGGCCGTGACAGGCATTGCGCAGGAAGCACTCGCTCCTTCCGCGTTTGTGCAAAAGGGGGCACGCCGGCATCCTGCGCATCCTGCCCCCGGAGACTAGGGCGCGCTGGTCTTTGTGGGTGAATGTAGGTGGTCCCGCTCCTCTGAGTCTGCCCCGCGGATTTGACGTTCCCCGCTGCGCGGCCCACCCTATGCGGTCGTGCCTCACCTCAGAGAAGAGGCGTAGGCGGGGCACCACCTCCCTACGGACGACTCAGAAGAGATGCTGCGGTCGCATTGTCTGCTGAGCCAGCGCGTACATACCCTGATGCTCTGCAAGAAGCATCCTTTCATGAGCTTGAAGTGTTTGCATCTTCCGACTGATGATACGGTGGTTCCTCTGACCGGTGGCGATAGCTGTGTCATCCGGTTCTCTGTCTAGAGACTCGGCTGCGTTTTCGACATTCCTCTTTGGGCAGATGCGGCTATGCGGGGGCTGGGGTTTGGTTTGAACCTTGCCGGTCGGTTGTCTTGGCTCTCCGTGGTGGGTGGCGCGCATAGGAGGAGGTCCAGCCACAACCTCCTCAATCGGAGATTCAATGATCGACGGTGCTTGCTGCTTAACGCCCAAATGCCTTCGTCACTCTGGGTCACACTGTGATTCTGGACCGGCGCGAGTGGCAGGGATTCGACTCATTCCTGCCAGTGACCAGTGGTGAGTGCCTTCAGTCTGACGGCGTCTTGTGCCAGCTCAACATACTTGGATTAATAGGCTATCATCCCTGGCCAATACTCCCCTTGTCGGAGTTGCTTTCGACATCGTAACCGAACCGTACACCATCTCACATGACAAGTGGCTCGCATATCTTATTGAAAGTGTAGGGATCTCCCCACACTGCGTACGTCGGACTTCTCCCACGGTCCATCATGGACGACTGCATCGACTTTGTGTGCCCACGGTACGTCGTTGAGCGCAGTGCAGGCGGTAGCATTTCCACTGTCGTGCCGCTTTCTGCGGACGAGGGGAAGGGGGTGCATCTAGTTGTACTCGAGGTCACGCTTGAGTAGCTGACCACTTAGATATCGCGGCTATTGTAACAACAATTTGGAAACCAAACACCGATGTGCTTGCGGACGCTTCACCCACCCTCAGGCGGTCAGGCAAATGTAACCTGGTCGAATCTCGTGATCTTCATGTCCGCTCATAATGCTATGCCTTCGGTTACTCGTCCGAAGCCTCGGTCTTTGATCTCTTTCCCCGCGAAATCCGTGTCAACTCTGCTGCATAGACTTCCTGCCGCGAATATTCCGGCTATCCGATCGCTTAGCCCACCTCATCCGTATGTATACATGATTTCAGCTTATTCGTCTCCTGGCGAACTCACCTGAAAGCACATATGCGTTCCTCATGTCTCTTTTCTGCTGTGGCCTGGAGATAAACGCCGACATTGCGCTTGCGGCGCGTCGATGCAGTTCTGAAAGTGGCTGTGCGCTCGGGGCACTGGGTAGCTTCCCAGTGGCAGCTGCAGCTCCTCGTCTTTTTCCTAATCACCTCTGCGATCATGGTGGACACCGCAATGATATCTCTCGTGGGATTTTTCTGTGTCCCTGCCACGAACTCTGGGAATTTCTGTTCCTCCGTATGCTTCTCACTGGCATCGCAGTGAAGGCACACGGCAGGATTCTGCGTCCTCCCAGACTACACGTATATGTCCTGCGCCGCATTCAGTCTTGCCAGGGACGACTGGGAGGACGTAACCGCCACACCATACTAATGTAAGCGTGCCCTGTCCTAAAGTGATGCCGGCCCCTAGGGTAATGTGCAACATGCGCAGGAGACCTGTGCATCCCCTCCCAATCAACGGCGGAAGAATCAAGCACCTCGACTTCTCCACTATGTTTGGCGAGATTGGGAGCCGGCGATGTTGTGAACAGTCTATCTCTTGATATGATCCTGAGACAAACTGTCGCGAGAAATAAAACACCTGCGAAGCAGACAAAAACAGCAGGTATATACCTTCCAAGCGCACCGAGAGTGGCGTCGTCTGACATTCTCTGAACAATATCTAGGACCCATATTTATTAGCACATTGAGTACGGCGTAGAGTTCATATGGGGCGGCCCGCCTCCGTATTGGTAGCCGCATCTTTCCAGGGAGATTTATGATGGAGCTGTACTGTGTAAGCACAAAATGGGGGTAACACAAAGACTAATGCCTATTCGGTACTAGATAAGTGCAATACTAACAATACAAGTCAGTACATCTAGAAATCAGCGTTACATGAGGTGGTGGCATCTCAGTCGTGGGGAATACAACATCTGAGAAGGACGGGATATTAATGTTGCTATGTGGAATATAGTGGAACAGACACATGGAGAAAACAGAGTTTCGATACACCAAGGTTCGGGGTGACAGCTGTCCGAAGCGGTGCAAAATCTCGAATATTTGAACATGTTCGATAACGGAAGGTCGACGCGTCGCAACCTGCCGTGCAGAAGGTTCAGACCAAGTTTTGCGTGATGCACAGGAATGACTAGCCTTACCCAATCTACAACGCGAATTGCGCAGCCGTTGCCCTGGAGAAGAGCAGTGCGTCACGGGAAAGCTGAGTGAGTGTCCGCTGCTTCTGCTAAACATGCGAACGTTTGGAGATGACTATTGCAGTGGAAATAGTCCGTAGCGCATCCTGTCCCCGTTTTCGCGGGCAGTCGTGAGACACATCTTCTGCCGTACCCTCTGCTATATCGCTCGTGGCCCGGAAGCAGGACCCGGATGTCATCGGCGCATTGACGCGGGGTTCACCGTCTACAGCTACTGTGTACCGCACCGCGACGTGAACAGTAGGCATGGGCTAGGCCACCATGAACGCATCGGCATCCAGCCAGGCGGGCTTTTGCCTGGTGTCTGCCGAAAATCCATCTACGTATGACACTTTACGCATGGCGATATTGTCGGCGCGCAAGTGCCTTTCTCTGGATTGCATACGGACGAAATTATGGAGTAAGAATCGAATTTGATGGTCTTGAACCGTAACGACAAACCCAGAATGAATCCCTAAGAGCACCTTGATTCTCTGCAAACGTCGTTCAGAAGAATTGGGCCACTGCTGGCATGTGACGTGGTGATAGCACTCGCGCGTCAAGGAGCGTGGGCGGTCGTCGTCCCCGTCAAACCCGATCATCTCTATTCGTCCCCCGAGATGCTGATGACGCTCTGGATCACGGCCGCCATGCTGAATATACTATGGAACTCGCCACTTGGGATTGTTTGGTTGTGTCGGAAACAATCCATAACATTACCTCATGTAGCCACCAGTGCAATGTCCGGATGAATGATAACATGGCTTGTTGACGGTTCCCTGACTTGCGCAGTCAGTGGGAATAACACGATCGCAATGCAATAGCCACTCATCCAAGAGTCAAGTTTTAGCCAGATAAATCTGTACTGCGCAAGGATATTCGAAATAGAATTTTGTTTGATTTTCGAGCTACGTACTGGGGAATCTCTACAAAGTGAAACATCCCTTTGTACACTTGGTACACAACATACAAATGCGAGCGATCGCCCTGTTTCTTAGCAAATAATCGCAAAATACAGATCGTGGAATACAATACGGCCATGAACAGCAGACAATTCGATGTTAGGGCTAATTCTCTGGGTTGCTCGGCACCATCTAACCATGACAGCATCACATGTGTAGTGGCAAACGCTAGCCGCGAGCGTCAGTGGAATTCTGCTTGAGATCGTAAAAGTACAGCCCATGCTTCCTAGTCACATGCCTTCTATTCATCTGGAGTACCGTGACAAAAACTATGCGCATATATTGAGGTCCTGTGGCAGAGATCGCTCATTGAACCCAAAAGACGCCTGCGATGGCTTGCAAAAGGACATACCGTAGCTATCTCCACGGTGTACACATATGGGGGTAATGCCTACCGCACATGAAACAAGTTGGGGGCTCAGGCTTGCGGTGAAATGACTTGACGCATGGCAGACAGAACAGCAGCAGGTGTTGATTTGAACCAGATACGCTGGGCGTTTCTTGATGCAGGTTGTTTAGCCGAGATCATACAGAAGCAGCGGACCGTGTACGGATCAAATCTCGAAGAAAAAGCATGGGGTAGCGAGTATGTACTTTGTAGCATGGCATCCGCATGCTCGGAATCGAGAACTACCCAGTGCTGGTAGAAGGCACGCGGCCCTTGGAGGGATTCCTGGAGTACTCATTAAGCACTAGGATGCAATAACGACCAGTGGTATCTGCCAGATTCGAACGCGGAAAGACCGGCTCGTACGATTCCAGTGGTAGGAGGAAAGGACCAGACAAGGGGCAGTAGGCGTGGGCCAATGGTGGACCAGGATTGCGGTGGTGAGATCACCGTGCGAAAATTGGGGGTCCAGTGTCATTTCCCCATTTCCGACGGTCGTTTAGCGTAAAGTGAGGCGACAGTCGATGCAATAAAAACCCTCCCTCTCTCCGCTCTCCTTGGCCTCTCCTTTCCCCCTTCTCCCTCCCTTTTGCTATTCCCTAACGAGTCATGTCCTCTAAAGGTATGCTATGACATGCACTACGCCTTCACAACACTAATTCCCGTTGCAGCTATCCGTGAATACGACGCAAAACTGCTGCTTGCCTACTGGCTTGAGCGCGCACCCTCCGTTGACCCGTCCGCACAGCTTGCGACCAAGTTTATTTTCCCTTCCCCCAAGGTCGCCCAGATTTCATGGGACCCAGCGACTAATTCGATCACTGCCGACACTCAGCTGCCAAGCTGGGTGTTCACTACAAAACTCGTTGCCAAGCCCGACCAGCTCATTAAGCGTCGAGGGAAGGCTGGTCTTCTTGCCCTTAACAAGTCCTGGGACGAGGCAAAGGAGTGGATTCAGGCGCGAGCAGGAAAGCCGCAGAAGGTACGGGTTTCCGTTATTCCTTTGTCTTGTAACATTCCGATCCCGATCGCTGCACTTTCATTTCCGATCCTCCGTCTGTCCCTTGCATCTTCGTGGCACATGTCCGGAGAGTGCCTGCCCCAGTTGCAGGGTCTTGAGCTTGCTTTGTCCTGCAGTCGTCGTGTGCTGCAGCGCGTTTTACACGAGGCCGTGTTTCCTGCTCATAGCATGCACGTGACGTTCTCTACATTATTCCCTGGAAACTTTACCCCACTTTATACTGTATTGCCGGTTGATTATGTCGGTTGATTATGTTCGCGATACTGATCGGATACCGCGTAGGTTGAATCTGTTACTGGAACGCTCAACAATTTCATCGTCGAGCCATTCCTTCCTCATCCGTCCAACACCGAATACTACGTCTGCATCACTTCTGCCCGTGAGGGCGATGCGATCCTCTTCACTCACGAGGGTGGTGTCGACATTGGCGATGTCGATGCGAAGGCCCTGACTCTTCAGATCCCCGTGAATGCTCCTTTCCCCTCTCGTCAGGCCATCGCCGACACCCTCCTCAAGCATGTACCTGCCGCGAAGAAGGAGACTCTTGTAGACTTCCTTATTCGCTTGTACTCTGTTTACGTCGACCTTCACTTTGCCTATCTCGAGATCAACCCTCTCATCTGTCTCGATGGTGTCAACGGTGGAGCGCCTACCATCCACTACCTTGACATGGCAGCGAAACTTGACCAGACCGCAGAGTCGATCTGTGGGCCGAAGTGGGCTCTTGCTCGTGACTTGTCGGTCTACGAATCTGGCTCACAGGCAATCACCTCAAAGGGCAAGTCCGTTTCGGCGGACCGTGGACCACCTATGGTGCGCATATATGCTACCGTTTTCGAGGGCGAAGTCTGATTTATGTCATTTAGGTTTGGCCTGCTCCGTTCGGTCGTGATCTGACAAAGGAGGAAGCGTACATCCAGAAGCTGGATGCTTCCACCGGTGCATCGCTGAAGCTTACTGTCCTCAACGCCGAAGGTCGCATATGGACTATGGTTGCTGGTGGCGGTGCTTCTGTGGTCTACGCGGATGCTATCGCCGCTCACGGTTTCGCTCATGAGCTTGCCAACTACGGCGAGTACTCTGGTGCGCCAACGGAAGGTCAGACATACGAATACGCGAAGACCATCATCGACCTCATCACGCGTGGCAAACCACGCTCCGATGGCAAGATTCTCATCATCGGCGGTGGTATCGCGAATTTCACGAACGTTGCTGCGACCTTCAAGGGTATCATCCGTGCACTGAAGGAGTACAAGGCGCCCCTTATTGCCCATGGTGTGAAAATCTACGTTCGTCGTGGTGGCCCCAACTACCAGGAAGGACTGAAGGCGATGCGTCTGCTCGGCGAATCTCTCGGCGTCCCCATCAAGGTGTACGGTCCCGACACTCACATAACCGAGATTGTCCCTCTCGCTCTTGGTATTACTGCAAAGGCGAAGAACCCCGTTCACTCCGTCGCTCCCACGCCTGTTGGCCCGCCATCGCCGAAGTCCAAGGCAGCGGTTGAGCCTGAGGCTGCGATTGGCACAATTGGGCCTGACGGTGAACGCACTCAACCCAATGACCAGATCGTTCGTTTCGATAATCTGCAAGCAGCGTCGTCACGTCCCTCCTTCCGACCTTTCGACGACCGCACTCGTTCATTCGTCTATGGTCTACAGCCTCGTGCGATTCAAGGCATGCTTGACTTTGACTACTCGTGCGGCCGTGAGACGCCCTCCGTTGCTGCCATGATCTACCCCTTCGGTGGCCACCACATTCAGAAGTTCTATTGGGGTACCAAGGAGACGCTCTTGCCCGTGTATACTAGTGTCGAGGACGCAGTGAAGAAGCACCCCGATGTCGATGTTGTTGTTAACTTTGCCAGCTCGCGTAGTGTGTACTCGAGCACGTTGGAGATCTTCAGCTTCCCTCAGATCAAGAGCATCGCGTTGATTGCAGAGGGTGTTCCTGAGCGTCATGCACGGGAGATCTTGCACTTGGCTCAATCCAAGGGCGTTCTGATTATTGGTCCTGCAACCGTCGGTGGTATCAAGCCTGGCTGCTTCAGGATTGGCAACTCCGGAGGGTAAGTGGCTCGGTCATCTGTTTTATTTCTCACTGACAGGCGCATCTTCCAGTATGATGGACAACATTATTGCGTCTAAGCTCTACCGTGCAGGCTCTGTGGGCTATGTTTCCAAGTCTGGCGGCATGTCAAACGAGCTGAACAACATCCTCTCCCTCGTCACCAATGGTACATACGAGGGCATCGCCATTGGTGGCGACCGCTACCCTGGCTCGACCTTCATTGACCACTTGCTCCGCTACGAACAAGACCCCGAGTGTAAGATGCTCGTTCTTCTCGGCGAGGTCGGCGGTATCGAGGAGTACCGCGTGATCGATGCCGTCAAGAAGGGTATCATTCGCAAACCGATTGTCGCATGGGCGATTGGTACCTGCGCGAAGATGTTCACGACAGAGGTGCAGTTCGGACACGCCGGATCGATGGCAAACTCGGACATGGAGACGGCGGACGCGAAGAACAAGGCCATGCGCGCCGCGGGCTTCATCGTGCCGGATACCTTCGAGGACCTGCCTGCTGTTCTCAAGGAGACGTACGAGCGCCTCGTCTCTGTTGGTACTATCAAGCCCCAGGCCGAGCGAGAGCCTCCTGTCATTCCGATGGATTACAAGTGGGCGCAAGAGCTTGGCCTTATCCGGAAGCCGGCGGCGTTCATCTCCACGATCTCGGATGAACGTGGCCAGGAGTTGCTGTATGCCGGCATGCGCATCTCAGATGTGTTCAAGGAGGATATCGGCATGGGCGGTGTGGTCAGTCTGTTGTGGTTCAAGCGCCGCCTACCACCATGGGCAACCAAATTCATCGAGATGGTGCTCATGCTTACTGCTGATCACGGTCCTGCCGTGTCTGGGTAAGTTCGCCGTGTCTCTGTATCGCTTGAAGGAAGTGTGACTGATGCCTGTCCTCAGTGCTATGAACACAATTGTGGCAACTCGCGCAGGCAAAGACTTGATCTCGTCGTTAGCTTCTGGTCTGCTTACCATTGGTAGCCGCTTCGGTGGTGCCCTGGATGAGGCCGCGTCTATGTTCTCGGGCGCCCGGGATACTGGACTTACGCCCCGAGAGTTCGTTGACACCTGCAGGAAGCAGAACAAATTGAGTAAGTCAGCGATTCGCGCGCCCGTAAGATTATGACTAACCACCCCATAGTCAGTGGTATCGGCCACAAGATCAAGAGCGTAAACAACCCTGATCTTCGTGTCGAGCTCGTGAAGGAGTATGTGCGTAAGAACTTCCCGAGCCATAGCTTGCTCGACTACGCACTTGCTGTGGAGAAGGTAACGACATCGAAGAAGGACACTGTGAGTAACATCGATTAGCTTACGTCACGAAGTACTTACGTTTGCTTCCCCGCAGCTCATCCTGAACGTCGATGGGTGTATCGCGGTGTGCTTCGTCGATCTCCTTCGGGATAGCGGCGCGTTCACTCCGGAGGAGGCGGATGAATACATCAAGATTGGAACGCTGAACGGGCTGTTTGTCTTGGGTCGCAGCATCGGATTCATTGGTCACCACCTTGACCAGAAGCGTCTGCGTGCGCCGCTGTACCGTCACCCCGCAGACGACATCTTCATCAACATGGCCGACTTGTCACAGCCACGAGTATTGGGCAAGATGGCATGAGCGGGAATGGGTGGTTTTTGATCCCTGAGAACTGGTGCTATCGTCCGTTTTAATGCTCTCGTAGATAGATAATCGTTGTAAGCTAGTACACTAGAACTTTTTCTCTGCCCTCTCTATCTCCGTGCGACCGCAAATTCTGAGAGTAGAATCGCTTGGGCTCAAAGCCGCAGTGGGGGTTCCATCTTACGCCCGAGCTCCGTGACAGCGACGCGACCTGCATTCCGAGCATTCCAAGTATACTTATTGCATTCGGAGCGCACCCACAGCTGTCATGTAAATTTAACTGCCTCGGCCGATGTAATCGGTGGTGTCCGATATAGCCTCATGCCCCAAGTAAGCCTTACCATTCGACATTCGCCTCATCTACCTCATCCACGACGATGAAGATGGCGTGTTTCTTGCCGTCGTAGTTTGAGCGGTAGCTTGGCAAGCGAGAGCAAAACCTTGCGTGCTTGGCCGCACCGGAAGTAGTTGCGCCATTCCAATTTCCGAACAACTGCGTGCCATGAAAAATAGTCTTCCGGTCCTTGAGTCGGAGAATCCTTGGAGATCGGCTTGGCAAGGCCACCGAGAGCTTCCAGTCTGGCTAAGCCCTCGCGCGAAGGTGGTTTGCTGAGAGGCGGGCGGTGGCAATAGCAGGAGCAACCACTCAATAAGTGGGGATAAAGTGGAAATAATAGAAACAAATGACGCGCGCCGGTAACGCCCGGGCGGCGCACCGCGCAAAGTCATAAGAATAGTCCTCTGTTCCGTCCGTCCCCAGCTCGTTCCGCTCACTCCCCTCCATCTCCCTGGTGGCCCAGGCAGTCATTACTCCCTTCGACCTCGTCAACATGTCCGACATCACTTCTCCACCACAGTACGCTGAGGACAAGGGACAGGACGTCCCACCTGGACCCAACTATGCCGAAAACATGGTCGAAGCGCACACTCGTCCAGGAT